ATTGATCAAGAATTAATTTAAAATTAATTTGGTGATCAAAAGGAGATTAATTAAATATATGGGGTTGATTGTGTAAATCATCCATTCTTTTATAGTGGGCTAATGATCCGTGGTTTATATGAATTAGGCTAAAACCCATAGAGTGCTCCATGGATAGTCCATGGAGGTTATAAAACCATGGATCATGGAATATGAAAATCCATGTCAATTAAGGTTTACATGTTGTAACCCTACTTGTGACACAACTATAAAAGGACCCCATGGGCTACCAAAATCGGCACTATGTGTAGAACAATAGGGCTAGCCGATTTTAAGTGAGTGTGGACTTCTCTCAAAGTTATTCCAAGAGTTGTGGTGTTGTGTGAAACATTTGAGGCATCACACTTGAGGTGCTAGGGTCACAAGGTTCTCAAGGAATCCAAGCAACAAGAAAGGTATGTTCTCCTACTAGCTTTTATGTTTCAAAGTTCCCCATGCCATGCTAGTTAGGTTAAGAACCTTGGAAAATCAAATTTGCATGTATCTTAGTAAAACATAGATCCAATGTTTCTAGGGTTGCATGTACACCTTAGGAGTGTTAGAATGCTCAAAACCCGTTAGAAACAACCCAACTCTTTTCCCTCGATCCTGTGGATTACGATGAGTCTGTCAGAATCATGATCGAGTTCATCTCTAGACCCCTTATCACTATTCCTCTCATCAAATCCCAAACCCTAACTTCCCTCTTAGGTTGTTTCTTAAAGCCTTTGAACGAGGTAAGTTTGAAGATGGAGTACTCGAAGTCAAGATCATTGATGATCAAATTGTATATGTTCATAAAGCAACCTTCCTTCGTGCCATTGGAGTTGTAGAAAACCTCCAAGGTTTTCGAGAGCAGGAACCCACAACAGATGAATTCTAATCGTTCCTTACTCATATTGAGTACAATGGGGAATTCAAAGCCAAGGAGTTCAAGAATCCAGCGGTTCCCGATATGGACCATTCTGATGCACCTCATTCTCAAAGGTTTATCTGGAAAACATGGTGGAACGGACACAATGATCAAAGATTCGCTCTATGTCATCTACAACATCTTCACTGGCCGATCATATGTTGTTTATCTACCAAAGGTCCTTTGGCAAGACTTCAAGAGGTTTACCAAGAAGAGGAAGACGAATGAGATTTTGATTCTGATAATTTGGGCTTTGACTCTACAACAACTGTATTCCAAGCAGAACGAACCAATTCCATTCAGCTCAAACATCCGTGAGGTATACTATTCCTTCAAAACTAGGGATGTTATTCGGGTCGGAACCGGACCGAACCGACTCGAACCTGAATAACCCGAAAACCGAATAAGAATAATTGCATGAACCAAAAACCGAACAGATTAACCAATCCAGGTTGGGTTTGGTTCGGTTAGGGTATTAATCGGTTCGGTTCAATTATTACCCGAATAACCGGAATAACATGTACAAGATGATTGGGGACCAAATATAACCAAAACAAACTGAATAAACCGTATTATGATTCTATAACCCGAACCTGAATAATATAATAACAATGTACTTTTATACATCAACATAAAACATTCAACGACTGACGTAACACAACAACACATTGAAAGAATTGCATTTACATAGTAGATTAACATAATGAGACTTAATTGCTTACTTGAGTTTATTGAGTTGGAGCCCAATTTTCCATGCCTAGAAAAGTAGGAATTCGTGAATCCTTAGAGGTAGTAGGAAGGGTCGATTTTTGAAAGTCTGAAACAAGAAGAAGGATCGACAGAAGTGATTTCGAGTTTGAAAATAGCTGAGAAGATTGGCTGATTTAGAAACGACGAGGATGAGCGTAGGGTTTTTTTGTTATGAACAACGAGGACATAAGTGTGAATCGTGATTTTGATTTCTGTCGATCAGAGAAAGTGGACGAGGAATGCTTATTCGGGTCGGGTATTTAGAGTCGAATAAGCTCTTATTCAGGTAACCCGAACCGAATAGCTTGAGAACTAAATAAGCATAATATAGATACCCAAAACCCGAATCGAATTGCTTATTCGGGCCTAATTCGGTTCGGGTATTAATCGGTTCGGTTCAGTTATTACACGAATAACCGGAATAAGATGTACATGATGATTAGGGACCTAATATAACCAAAACAAACCGAATAAACCGTATTATGATTCTATAACCCGAATAACGTGAATAATATAATAACAATGTACTTTTATACATCAACATAAAACATTCAAAGACTAATGTAACACAACAACATATTGAAAGAATAGCATTTACATAGTAGATTAACATAATGAGAATTAATTGCTTACTTGAGTTTCTTGAGTTGGAGCCCAATTTTCCATGCCAAGAAAAAGTAGGAATTTGTGAATCCTTAGAGGTAATTGGAAGGGCCGATTTTTGAAAGTCTAAAACAAGAAGAAGGATCGACAAAAGTGATTTCGAGTTTGAAAATAGTTGAGAAGATTGGTTGATTTAGAAATGACGAGGACGAGCGTAGGGTTTTTTTCTGTTATGAACAACGAGGACAAAAGTGTGAATTGTGATTTTGATTTTTGTCTATCAGAGAAAGTGGACGAGGAATGCTTATTCGGGTCGGGTATTTAGAACCGCATAAGCTCTTATTCGGGTAACCCGAACCGAATAACCTGAGAACTGAATAAGCATAATATAGATACCCGAAACCCGAATTAAATTGCTTATTCGGGCCTAATTCGGTTCGGTTCGGGTTTTCGAGCTAAATTTTCATCGCTATTCAAAACCATTAAAACTTACATGTTACCCAATCAAGCTGCGTTCGGAGCGGTCCAACGTCTTCCTCAACACATGTTGAGCACTATTCCTTCTGACTCTCCTCACCTGAAACACCATTTTGAGACTTCGGTTGTGTTTGACCCAATGCAACCTGCCTCAGACTCTAATGATTTAGCCTCGAAAGAGAATAGACCAGCCACCTTGGAAGGTCATAAGAAACAAATCGCTCAAAAGATAAAGGTATCCCCTTCAAAACTTAAGACCAAAAAGAGAACCAAAACTGGTGAATAATCTCTAAAGGATTCACATATCAGATCTCGACCTGACTCTGGGTCCTTGCCTACCCCACCTATCCACTCTTCCGATGTACCCTTCGAAGTGTCAAAAACATACTTTGCACACATTCACGGGGAGTCTGCACATGATCTACCCACACCTTCTCAAAAAGGTGATGTTGAGATTGAATAAAGTCCCTTGGAGCCCCCTGGGACACACTCACGTGTCAACTTGAATCACACTCTCTCTTCTACACAAGCACAATCTGTGGTCCCTACCACAGATTCTAAGCTTTCCGAGACAAGAGTAGTCCCTCCCACCTCAGATACCTCAACCGATCCGATACATACCACGATTAAAGGATTATTGGGTATTTTTAATGATGACAATGTTTATTTTATTAGTAGTGGACACTTAGGGCATTTGGATCTCTCCAAAGATAAAGTTGAATACACTCTTATCTCCATGCGTCAACGTGCCATCCGAAGTCGTATTCACTTAACTTTTCCATCAGATGAAGAGACTGATCAAGTGCTCCAGTCGTCCATTGACACTTTGAATATGAAAGTGAGTGTAAATGTTCCCACTCCTGACGTTACAGAGGATGATCCTCCTCGGAATGAAGATGTTGTTGCAGGAGAAGTTCCTGATACAACCTTTTCATCGGATGATCCTCCGTTGAAGAATGATGCTGCAAAATATGTCCTTGTCTCCACTCCTATCTCAGATGATCCAAAACTAGATGATGATAAAGGTCACTCCAAAGAGATCATGTTTGAAGAAGATAACATAATTGTTGGTGTCATCCCAATTCCTTCTACCTTCAACATGTGGCAAAAGCCCTCCTATTCCAAAGCTAATTTTGATTTCGGTCTCTCCTCGTCCTCGGACGAAATGGAAGGAGAAGAAGATCAAGACGGAAATAACAACACCTTTCCTTGTCTTGAAACAAAAATAGATGGTGATCAAGAAGATCGAATTTAAGGTGATCAAAACGATGATACCAAGGATCTTGAAGACTCTGGTGATGATGAAGATGATGACAAGTGGTCCGAAAGCTCCACTTCGGACATCGGATCCTCAGATGAAAACATAGTCGATCCATTTTCTCTCCTGGAACTCCTAGATAATGTTGCCAAATCCAAATTCTAAAGTCAACACGGTCACTGAAAAAGTTGCCTCACTTGATTCAAAGCTCGATTTAGTGATCAAATCTCTCTCCGAGATCAAGGCTGCTGCTCCTTCAGAACTTGACCGAGCCAACCAATTAGATCAGCTCATATCTCTCCATTTGAAGCGCACCTTAGAAGAAGCTGAGAAACGTTACAAAGAATATCTTGATCATCACCTCTCCACCACTTCTACAATATTGCGTATCCATGATGACCTGAAAACTGATACCAATGAGCTCATCAAGCAGACTCATGCTTGTCATGAGAAACAAATCCAAGGATTGGAGAATGAGATCAAACACAAAGATAGCATGAATATGATTATACAGGAAGTTCTCATCAAGGTCATCCAATCAGCTCAACACTTTGTGGATACTCCAAACCACAAGTTTGATGAACTTCTGCTAATCATGGAGGAAACCTTCGACTGTCTCAAAGCCCAAGCTCCAACTGCAGATTCCTATGATAAGCTTTCAAAGCAAATCAACATGAGCTTCCAGCAGATGTTTGAACGGTTAGGAGACTTGAAAACAGATGCTTTGCTTGCATTGGAGGCTGGGCCTTCCTATGCAAGATGGGGAGAAAGGCAACGACTAGTTCAATGGAATCTAATCTCTGACTTTCAGCTCTGAGATGAAACAATTGATGAAACCTTGTGAGCAATGCAATTCTAGGTCTTCAAGCCATCAAGGAACAACCTTCCATCACCAAAATCCTCTCGGAAGAAGAAAAGAAGAAATGGTCCTCTTTTTGTTGGTCATCTAATCTAGCAAAAGCTTTTAAATGAAGTCGAGAAATGTCTAAGATAAAGACTAAGCTGACGGCTGATGCTTTTCGAGCTAACCAATCCATGCTTCCTCTAATTCTTGCTCTGAAGATTGTTCCAGTTGATAAAGGTTATCCCATCAAGAAACCTGATGAGGTACCTAAAGAGCCTTTGATTCCTCCTACTTCGGAGCTAATCATCACTCAAGTCAGTTAATAAATCATCTCATCCATCTCTACTCCGATTGATCCTATTAAAGATAAAGACAAATGAATCTCTGTAAAGCCCGGTTCCTGATACGTATTTTAAATTTAAAGATTTTATGTTTTTACACTGGGACTCGTCGAGTTGGAGGCCCAACTCGTCGAGTAGACAAGACTTTGGATGCGGGTTTTAAGTAACATACTTGACGAGTCGAGAGTCCGACTCGGCGAGTAGGACTGTCTGGATGAAACCCTAATATTTAGGGTTTCCACCCTATTTAAACAACTTATCTTGCCTCAATCCATCCTCCATCGTCCCTCCCAACTCAGAGAAACCCTAAATCGAAACCCTAACCTTGTTTGATTGTTCTTGAGCCATTTTTATGTACTTGTGGTGATTGTGAAGCTTGAGAAGGAAGAAGGAGCTTGGGAGATCAAGTGAGAGCAAGTAGATCCAGAAGTTTTGGCACATTTCTTGCTCATTTGAGGTATAAAGCTGATACCTTGGCTATTCATTGCTTAGATATTGTTGGGGCTATTTCTACCTTTTTCTAAGCTTTAGTGAAGCTATACTCGGATTTGGGTGTATATTTGGAGTTTCACTTCAGATCTGGAACCATTGAGGGATCTCATGGCATAAAGGTGCCAACTTTATGGCCATGGGAGACCCATGCAACATATAAACCCCATTTTATAGCCTTTTGAGCCAAAAACCTCATGCATGGACATCAAGTTCGTAGCTTTACGTATAAAATGGACCCTAGGAGGTCATATCTATGATTTAGATACATTAAGACCCACTGAAATCGACTGTATAGTTTTGGACAAAGAGGGACTTGGCAATTCGTTCATAGGACTCGCCGAGTCGGGTCATAGTTTCCCCCCAAACATCTTCTGGAAATGGTCTTTGGTTGAGTTGAAGGAAAACTCAGCCTGTTGGGGTTGTTATGGACTTGAAGATCGAAGGACTCAACGAGTGCAATGAGGAACTCGACGAGTTCAAGGCAATGTCCCAACCACATGAAGACGGACTCGACGAGTTCAAGGAGAACTCGGCGAGTCATAGACTAAACATATTCTTCGAATGAAGATGAACTCGGCGAGTCAGTTGAAGAAGGTCCCGATGTTTTATTGAAGGAGAACTCACCGAGCTCTTGCTAGACTCGACGAGCAGGGACGGGGTTGTAGCCTTTTGTGAACGTGGGGACTCGACGAGTTGGTGGACCAACTCGGCGAGTCTATCCAACCAGATGTTGACTTTGACCAAGGTTTTGACCTTGACTTTGACTTAGACTTGAGTAACCCTAGTAAGGGTTAAGGGTATGTAATGGTAAATTAAGGAAGGTTGTTAGATGTAGGGACTGAGAGGATTTGATCCCGGCAGGGAGGACAGTTCAGACACTTCACGACATTGAGGTGAGTTACCTTCCAGTAGGAGTGGGTCTACGGCCACAATGTCGGGCCACTAGTAGGAGTCGTTTGTTAGATGATTGTCTTTGTGATAATTATCTGGCGTATTGTTATCTGATATGATTTATATGCTAGAATGCTATGACATATGTGTTAGTAGTGGTAAGGGTGATTTAGTCCCTAGTTACCGGTTGAAAGATACCGAAGGGGTAGGTAGTACCCAAGCATGCCTAGCAGTATGATCATGACATGTTATTATGTGATAGTGGTAGGGGTGAAATAATCCCCAGTTACCGGTTGAAAGATACCAAAGGGGAGGTTAACTCCCGGTTACCGGTTGAAAGATACCGAAGGGGAGGTTAGTTACCCGTTACCGGTTGAAAGATACCGAAGGGGAGGTTAGTTCCCGGTTACCAGTTGAAAGATACCGAAGGGGAGTCCAGCTCCCGGTTATACAGGTTGAAAGATACTGAGGGACAGGCATTATGTGGTATGTGATATGATGGGGGATGTCACAACTAGCATCTTGGCTAGGAAATTTCGTCCTCATGTAAGAAATAACTATTGTGAGACTTGTGCTAACACATTAAAAGTGTACATTATGGTTCCTAATGGACCACGTAAAGTTAGAATGCAAATCTCTCCATGTATCTCAAATCTCTCCCAAATCTCTCCAAGTATATGAAATCTCTCCCAAATCTCTCCAAGTATATGAAATCTCTCCCAAATCTCTCCAATTATATGAAATCTCTCCCAAATCTCTCCAAGTACATGAAATCTATCCTAAATCTCTCCAAGTATATGAAATCTCTCCTAAATCTCTCCACGTATCTCAAATCTCTCTCAAATCTCCCTATATACCTTCCTCAGTCGAAAACAGCTCAAAACCGAAGGAGAAAACCCAAAAGGACCCTCTTGGTCCGGAACCCTCTTGGTCCGGAACCCTCTTAGTCCGGAATGCCTTCTAAGGAAACCAAGAGGAATCGCATCTCAGAACCTCCCCTACTTCGGATCTCCTCGCATGCTCCGGAAGGTTAAGCTCCGGAAGGACCTCGCTTAGGACTTGCTTCGGAAGGACTCGCTTGTGAATGGCTCCGGAATTATGGGATTTGACTTCGGACCCTCGCAGGAGCAAGATTCCACTCCGGATTTTTGTCCATTTCGGACTTTTTCTTAAGTTTAGGATATTTTGACGTCGGGAATTCCTCCAAACTCGTATTTTTCATATCTTAGACCCCTTAAACCCCTATTTTATGCCAAAATTGATTTATATAAAATAATACCCAAGATTTTAAAGGGATTCTAAGTAGATAAGGGTTGACTTTATGATGTGATGCAAATCTTTCATTTCCCATGCAAATCCCAGTTAAACACAAAATATCTATGGATAACTAAGCTTTGTACACCAGCCCTCCAAGCAAGTGTCATGTCACTCTTATCCCCTCCTTCTTGATACGTGAACTCCTCTTTTCCTCCACATATTCCACTTCTCACTTTCACATCCAGTAAACTTCTAAGAGTGCTCTCAACTCCTTCAAGCTTCAAGTCTCAATCCTTCAAAGAAAATTCCTAGATTTCTTTTTGTAAGTGTTTCATCTTCTTTGACTAGTGATTCTCCACATTATTCCTAAGATTTCATTATATTTACACATAAAAATTTTCTTAGGATATTCTAAAGTTCAAAGAACCTTTCAAGTGTTGGAACTTGGAAGCTCCTTAACACTTCTTCAAATCATCCACAAAACTAACTCAAGGTGAGCTTCATACCCCCACTTTTTCGAGATTTTTATTGTTTGTTGGGGAGAATACAAGTCAAAGTCCCGTGTAAATCATGATCTATTTGCTTATTGTGTATGCATGCCATCTTACATGTGCTTAAGTATGAAATTCCTTACAATTAGTCCAAAAACTCGAGATTTTGGTTAAGTCTCAAGAGTTTGGATTATTTTTCCACAAATCATGTTTAGAAACAAAAAGTTTTATGTTACCAAGTATAAGTCACAAATTATTATGTCAACTATAAGGATTTGCTTCAAGATTTGCTTAAACAAGTTGTTGGACAAAATATTTTGAAAATGATTAAATTATGGAAATAATAATATTTTGGATCATTTTTGGCCAAGCATAAATACAAGGGTTATCTTGCAATATTATGTCATACTCATGACTTTTTACCAGATTAACAACCTATTTGTGATTCTTTATAATTATTTAATATAAATAATTTTATCAAGAAAAATATACGAAAACAGAGTTTTCATGACAAAATATTTGCATGTCATAAACTGTTGTCGTAAAACCTTCAGGAACATAAGTAATGTTCTATATGTCATAAAACAGAAAATGCGTGTCATAACGTACAATCATAAATTTACACAAATTATAACTTGACACTTTTTCTCTTGACTAATATGGGCCTGAGCCGACAATTTATAGAAAGGAAAGACCATTTTTGCCAATTCCGATAATGTTGGGTCATTTTGATAAACGTTCAAAATGGCTTATTTTTCAATAAACGAAACGGAAGGAACACGAGCACCCAGTTAACAAGCACAATAAACGATATGGAACGAAAACGATACTTCTATTCAATGAGTACGAATTTCATTATTTATATAACAAATAATGGATCTCAAACGATTGCTCAAAAGGTTGTTAATATTCTAGTCAGACAAATCTCAAAAGTACCTAAATATAAAAATATTAGTGTACGTCTAAAGTCCTGTAAGGAGTTATAGCCAGAGTCTCCTGGAGGGAGAGCGGGAATTTGTGTATATATCTATACGGGGTTGACACCCCGCACCTTCGATGTTCGCTACAGCTAGACCGGCCAGTCTAGGGTGACAAATGTCTTTAACAAAACAAGGGCGCCTGAGAAACGCCAAAACAGCTCTCGGTCATATTAGTATAGATATAACTACTCACTAGAATATGTTATTTTATCTAGAAATTTATGCAAATAAAACCTCATAAATAAATTTTGGCACGTTGTGTTGACTGTCCTACGCATGGAAGTGATGGTCCGCATTTGTTGTGTTGACTGTCCTTTGTTTTTCATCGCGTAGAATGTCCACAATCGCCATGTTGATTTCTTTCACCTAACAAGTATTAGAGTCTTAATACTGCTATTTTACAAATCAGAAAACGTAGGAATTTATGGAAAATGTTTGTAAATGATTTTGATAACGAAAAGCTAAAACAAGTATACACGGTTGGAAACAGAACTTACGAATATTTTTATAGCAGAAAATATAGGATTTTCTGGAGAAAACGATTTTTATACGATTTCGATAACGATAAACTAGAACGCACACTCAATTATACCCGATAAGAAAAACAAGATTTACAACTATATTCTCTTTTTGGAAAATAGAGGACTTTCTGGAAACAGTTGGTTAATACTACTCAAAAGAACTATTCTCGAACACAGTTCGTCTTTACAAATTATACTACTATTCAAAATCACTTCTTATAAGGATGAATAAAAGTAACGACATGCACACATATATCCATGATTTTCAAAGCAAGGCTTCAAACGATTTCATAGAAAATATCGGATTTTCTGAAAGTACAATAAGAACGATTCTAAACGAGTGTAAAATTATTTTATACAAAAATGCTTATGAACTCACCAACTTTTTAGTTGACGATTTTCAAAACGACTTGTGTTCTCAGGGATCTAGTAAGCAGGTAAAAAGGGATGCGGATGCAAGACTATTTTGCTGTAGTTTGAAATTTATCTACTTGTGTCTCTTTTGTGTTATTTGAAGGACAAATACAATATGTAAACAATGTAAGTTTGATATCTCAATGTATGATGTTTGGATTTACTCTGTTTCATTTATGTTCAATTGTTATGATACTGCACAATGTAGTCACCCGCCTCCGGATGTTTCCGCCGTCTGGTCCGGGGGTGTGACAGATTGGTATAAGAGCATTGTTTATAGTGAACTGGTATATCTAGCCATACAAGATATACAACTATAGATACAATGGGACTAAAACACACTCTTAGTAAAAGTATACTTTAAA